CACACACACACACACACACACACACACACACACACACACACACACACACACACACAGAAGAAACTAAACACATTCGCATTCAGGGTTGCTCTTGTAATGGATGCCAGGCCTGCGGCCAGACAAGACTCTCTGGGGAGCGCCCTCGGGCTTCACAGCCCGAACCCAGTGGCCGTAGCTGTCACCTTACTAATGCTGCCAGCACAGCAGACCTACACACACATACACACACACACATAGGCTTCAGAGATCAAAGGCGTGTGTGTGTGTAGTTTGCAGAGCCTGGCAGTGTCAGCAGAACCCCAGCCAGTCTTACACTAGACTGGATACACAATGATGATGACTGATGAGTCCTCTCTGCTGTCTCTCCCTTCTCCTTTCTCCTCTGTCTCCTCTTGTCACTTTATTCTCTTCTTGCCCTCCCTCTCTGAGCATCTCCTCCACTTTGACTATTTTTTGGGTTTGGAATTATTTTTCCTCTTCATTTTATTCCATCTGCTGCCACTCACTCCTTTCTTTTATCTTACGTCCTATGTTTTTTTTTTCGTGTTTTTTTTTTTTTGTGCTCTTGTCACAAATTGTTATCACCCTCTTTAAATAACTGGCACACTTTGATTTCTTTTTTTTTTACTTGCTTTTTAAACTTTTCTTTTCTCTCTGCAGTTCCAGAGCCCGTACTCGTACTCCCCTCCATTTCGCTTTGGGACGGTTCCCAACGGCAGCACCGAGCGCAACATCAGGAAGAACTATCCGGACATGCATCAGTACATGACGAAATACCACCAGAACGGCGTCACGGACGCACTGGTCAGCCTCAAGACGGGGTAAAGCCAACTTGTCAAGCCGGCTCGCGTCAACGACACGCACACACACCTGAGGGGCGCAGCTCTGCTTGCAAATATGCTCAAGAACAGGCGAAAATAAACCCAAGTAGACTCTTGCAGCACACAGAAAGCCAAGCCTATGGCGCCCAGCGCTATCTCATGCTAAAATGCTATAATCGCTCTGCTGAGTGTTTCTGCCAGTGACAGTAAACACGCACACACACACACACACACACACACACACACACACACACACACACGAACACACACACACAATTTATGAGTGCTCATTATAGTTTTGTGTTGCTGCTGGGGGGGAAAAAAAGAAAGCTGCCAAAACAGAGAAACAGTAATTTGCTGGGAAGTTATCTACCTTCTTTCTCCCTTCTGAGCCCAAAAAGACGACAGCAGAGCTTTTCAGTGTGTTCTGTTGTTTTCCGAGCTTTCATCCTCTTTTAGGGGTATTTTATCAAAACACAGTTCTACTTTTTGCTTTTGCATTAATTACTTTATTGATGTGTCTCATCAAATGGGCGAGGTTTTGTTCCTAGAGTCTCATATATTAGGCTTGTTTATGCAACATCAAAACTTTCTAATGAACAAGTTCCGCGGAGTCATCAATATTTCACCAACTTCATAAATTGTTGCAGGAGGAAATCTGAGCACTTTTCTGTAGCGCAAGACAAACAAGCCCAATGCTTTTTGTACTTAAATCAATTTATATTGTTTTCCGATGCCGCGCATTGTAAAATGAATGAAAGGAAGTTGCAACTGCAGATGAAGCATGCATTCATTAAATATGTGCCCTTTGGTTGAATTTAAAGGGTTTTATATTTATGCATACATATTTAAATTAGAGGGCCACAGGGTGTGTTCATTCAATTACAGAAAACCATATTTAAAAGAAAAAAAGTTTTCAAAGAGGTTTTATCTGCTGTAATGAATGGTTAGAACAGTCTCTCTGTTTCAGACTCCACTGGGAGACTTCCATGTCAGATACAAATTGTTTTGTTATTACTTTTTGACAAAGTAATAACAAAAGCTGCAGGTAAAACAGTAACAGATCTGTGTGAACAAAGGCATCTCATTTGAGCAAACACACACACACACACACACAGAGAGAGAGAGAGAGAGAGAGAGAGAGACACACACACACACTGGATAGTGCTTTTAGCTCATATCTGATTTGTGTGAAAAAATATCAGCTCAGTGAATGTGGAGCGATATGAGAACCCATCTGAGTCACATAAAGACTTTATCTGCAGTTCCATCAACTCTGAGCGCTTGAGTCCAGTTTCACATGAATCACCGAACAACGCATATACTGTATATATATA